TCAGTTGATAACTCACCTCTTAACTGTGAGTATTACTATAGTATTATTACATTCACGGTGTATCCCATTGTGTATAGATTACACTGGACCAGACTACCGGAGTGTCATAGAAGCTATTCATCATGTTTCTAACTGGGAGGATCTGGGACTAGCATTACAACTTAATCCATCAAGCATAGATGATGTAAAGAGATCGTACAATCAAATTGTTGAGGAGTGTCGCAAAGAAATAATCAAGAAATGGATGATGACCAATGACCATCCCTCATGGAGGAGCCTCTGCCTTGCTTTGTGTGCTATATCAGTAGGTCATCCAAGATTAGCCAAGCGTATTGGAGAGAAGCATCCAATCAAACCTGCTCAGCAGTATAATGAACCATTTGATGAAGAAGCTTCTTCTCAATCAGCTATACCTACTACACGTACAACTTCTACTGCCTCTCCTTCTCACTCTACTGCTCCTTCTCCTAAACAGTATCAATCCTACTCAAAGCCAGTAGAAGAAGTGAGTCAAGGAGGTTCTGTGTTATCTAGAACAAGTGATGTATATCAGGAACCTTACCAACAGAAAGGTGCAGGTAGTACCGAATTAGTTTAACTAATTTTAAAGAGACATAATTATCACTGATAGACAACTGAGTTATTATTGCAATTTTGATATCTAGTCTATAATAAATTTTAAATTCATATCTCGATTGGTTAATTTAGTATAGCTTTATAGTCTAAATTTAAATCTGATCTGTAATGAGAATCATTCTGATTTGGTAAAGGATTCTAAGCAGCAATTGTATACTTCATGTAGCTACACTGGCCCAAATAGAATGACATGCAATAATCCTGTACCAAAGTAACCTACCTGGAGCCATTGCTCTGTGGAGGACACTGGGACCAAGAGGAAGTGGTTATATCGTCGGCGACGACACTGACAGTGGTAGTGATCATGAATTCATGATAATTATGATGAAAGAAAAGACCACTTTTCACGTGACTCCACGTGGTTATAATGTTAGGATTCAGTGCACTCCCGTATAACTAGACGAGGGACCTACGCCCTCTTTTGGGCTATTCCGGAGATCCCCACTATTAAGCCCAGGAATTGAAGGAAAATTAGGAAATTTAAAGATGTAAAACCTATAGCAGGGGCGTCGCTGGGCTTGAAAGATTGGTAGGGCACTAGGTCCATGAAAGTGGTGGAATTTTTTCGCGCGCGAAGCGCGCGAAAAATTTTGCAATATCTCATTAATATTCGTGATGGGTGTGGTCAATTTTGGTCAATTAATTGATTGATTAATTAATTAATAATGATCTTTTGACGCCCAAAAATCATAATGGCGTTCATTTCCAGCAATAAATTGCTTAACTACCGACTGTATTTCTACATTATGAGTCAGTTGTTGGTGTGTGTGAAGAAGTAAGCAGTGATTGAGTCCTTCCTGGATAGTTATTAGATGAATTAACTTGAATTAATAACTAATTTTAATAAAAATGGCTACTGATCTTCAAAATATTGGTGGGGCAACTGCCCTACCTGCCCCTTAGGCAGCGACGCCTCTGTATAGTAAACCATAAAAAGATGAAAACTTCATAATGGCTAATGCTGGGGCTAATGGTTCAGATTTGGTCAGTAAATCCTCCTCGAAATCCTCTCTTATTTGATTTGTTTTTCTTGTTTTAATAGGATTCACAGCTTTGGTTTGCCTGTTTAGATGGTGACGTAGAGAGAGCCAATCAACTGATAAAAGATGGTGCTAATATTGAATGGAAAGGACAGGTAAGAATTACCGTAAGATACCACTCCTATGGCAGCTTTAAACACATACAGACTGATACAGTACATGTATTCATATCTTTCCTGTGAATGATTTTGCCGATTTATAATGATATTCATTGGGATACCGTAAATGGAAAAATTTTCAGGCCACCATTGTGGAGGTATACTATCATTAGCTACAATGGACCGACAGGCTAAAAACTGTCAATTCTACTTCTCCACGCCACTCCAGTGGTTCTAAACAGTTGCAGATTACTGAAAAGAAAGATAAAGGTTGCAATTTTTTAACTTTCTAGACTATAACTGCTTGCTCTTCTTACAAAACGGCAGAAAGTGTATCGAGCTCCATTGGAAACAGTGCAGCAATACCTCCACAATGGCGGCCTGTAAAATTTTCTATTTACGGTATCCAAATGAATATCATTATAAATTGGAAACGTCATTCACAGGAAAGATATGAATAGCAGCTTAATACCTCACTTAATACCTATGAGCTGCTATAGAAATGCTTTCACTTCCAGGGTAGTCCAAAAATTTAAAAATAAAGTGTGCCAAACAGATGTGTAACTTGGAGGGATATTATTTCATTTGCTGCTCTATTGTGGCATCATATGTCATGATATGCTTTATATATAATTCCTTGGGCTTCTATTTCTTATCTTTAATTGGTACATTGGCTTCTATTGGAGGGACCTCCTATACTTTATACAGGATTATATTTCCTTAATGTACGTAGCCCCCAGTCTTATAATTGAAACAGACTTTTATTCCCACACAGATTCCTGCTTTACATAGCAATTGCAT